TCGAGGTGGCGCCGCGCGGCGGGGCGGGGCCGGAGGGGCCTCCTCGCGCTGGAGCGCGCCTGGTGCCTCGCTCAGTGATCCTGGCCCCGGCCCGCGCTTGTGTCGCCGTGGGGTCGGGGGAAGCCTCATCGTGAGGGCTGTCCCGGACCTGCTCCAAGGCCTGGCTCCACGTGGCAGGAAGATGCGGGATTTGCAAACTGCCCGGTGCCGGCTCCTGCGGGGGAAGAAAAAGACACCTTGGCGAACAACCTAGATGGGGCTGAGGCTGGAAACAGGCAACCGGCTTGATTCGGATTGAACGTTTTGTCTCTCGCAGCGAGCCCGAGACCTTACAAACTGACAAGCTGCGGCCCCATGTTGAGGGCCTGTGAAGTGCCTGGAGTGAAACATAAAAATGGGAGAGGGATAAGCCCCCTTCCCCTCGTTAAACCAGTATGAGGCCAAACTCAGGAGATGGACAAGCGCCGTGTCCGCATTAAAATCAGGATATGGGCAAGCCCGCATTAAGTTCCTGTGAAGTATCCAAGCTGAAAAGCAGGTGACCAGCTTGATTTGAATGCCAGCGTTTGATCTCAAGTCAAATGTGACTTAAATCCATGTGACTTAAGCCTTCAAGGAAATTAGCTACCAAGCTACTCTAACTCCTCTTTCTCACTTTTCCTTTGGTTACCAGTTCTCAATCTGTCTGAACCATCAGCACAGAATTTCATAGATTTCATAGACATTAGAGCGGGAAGGGACCTCAGAGGATCATCGAGTCCAGCCCCCTGCCCCAGGGGCAGGAAGTCAGCTGGGGATTGTTTTTCATTATTGCTTTCATCATTGCCCATTCTCATTCCAAGACATTCCATAAGTCTTCTGTTTTTCTGCTGCTGCCATTCCTTTTGTATCTTTTGTCTATTGACTCCACCACCACCGCCATCATCATCATTTCTAAATTTAGGTATTCTCAGTGTTGGGGAGGTGGGGAGAGTGAGGTCGCTCTGCAGTGAGATGCTTCATTATAACTGCTTTTGAACAGCCAAATGAACAACCTAGCTTTACTTCACAATGAGTCATTGTTTTAGCACATGAAGCTCAATTCCAAATTATGAATTCAGCTTTGTGACAGATATTTATCAAGTTTCTTGGCAGCACTGTCAGACGCACTGCATTTAAGAAGTATTCCAGCAGCTCACTCTTTGATAGCCAGCAAATCTATCTGGAAAGCCATACCATTCTGAGGGTCAAACTCTGAAAATCCAAGCATCAAAAAGACAAACTAGATTCCTCTCTAAGCTGTTAATAGGCTACTTTATTTATGGGCAAAACATTTTTCAATGCCATGGTACTGAAAATTAGGTATAAAGAACAGCTTCTACAAATGCATTTGGTACTACATGTTATATCAGTGCAGTGCCATTTTTGGACTTGAGAAACGAGCATTGACTGGTAGTATTGTGCTGCAGGCCTGGCATAACTAGCAGTAGGTGCAAAACTTTAGGGTGACAAATAGCCCTTTCCTGGAGATCTGAGCAGAAGTCACTTCAGAGCTAAAGTGGCAGCAAACCACCATGAGCATTCCTGTATCCTTTCCAAAGTATATGGACATTGGCATGGGACATTGCCACTAACCAAATTGCTATCAATCAGGAGCTAACCAATGTGGTGTAGGCGGATTGATGGTTGAGACTATGGTGTTATAAATATGTGCTGCTATTAAAAGGTACCATCATCACATGTTTTAAGATTTGCCAGTCCACCTGAGATTATTGATGGCTTTGCATACACAGTGTTCCCCAGTCACATTTGCAACTGGTGCAACTCCTGATATGAAATATTTGTAATAGTCCCTAGAATTCATAGAGTTCTCTCTCTATCATCCTTGAAGACCTGGCTAATCACTGTGAAAGGTTTACCAACAGTATTAGCAAGGGGTAGCCTGAAAAAAATCACGATGCTAGAGTTTTCAGAAATTTGCATCTCTTCTTTACTGAAAAAGGTAGATTTGTTATCATGGTTAAACCTATAGACGCTTATAGCATGCACATTCACTTTCGTATTCTGAGACCTGCTTTCCTCATCCTATCATGGCTTATGAAGCCTTTCACTGGACACTTGGATTGTAGTAAAGAACTGCATAACTAATCTCCTAAGCAATTATAAGATGACAATAGAGCATGTCCTTGGAAGAGCAGTAGATGATAATAATGGAAAGGCTAGAAGTATAGCCAGTAAGTACCTAAAATTATAAATATATTGTAATCTACAATTACTTTCTGAATCAGAAGTAGTGAAGCTACTTTTGTGTGGCACTAAGCACATCAGTATATTCTGTCACAGTAGAGCTCATTAGCATATATACAGCACTACAGTATGGTAGCTACACTACTACTAGTTTGGAAGTTCATACAGGTGCCATAATTGAGTGGTATAGTACATGAGAAAACATCGGGTTCTGTTTGGTGGGGATTGCAGGGGGGCTGGTTTATTATGGTGTGCACCATTAGTTTAACATGCTTTGTGCACATTATTAATTTGAAAAATAATCAGGAATATGGCTTCACTGTGGATGATATGGAGATGCTAGCACAATGTGACTGCTGGGCTTGAGAGAGGATGTCCTTTTCCTAAAAAGTGGATTTTTTTTTCTTACTAGATGTGCTTTTCAATATGCAGGGCTTCTGTAGGAAGACTTGGGGATGTGCTTACATTATATCAGAATACTCTGGCTTTTGGGTGAAAATAAGAGGGATAAGAGAGAAGCAGCTGAACAAAAGAGATCATTTTGTTGTCCTAAAATTGCAAATGCTAAAACATTGTGCAAATGATGCAACAGTAGTGGGGTTGGCAAAAGCAGAAAAAAAAAACTCTAGTTCAGAATCTTTTAGACTTCTTTTCTCCAAATTCAAATAAAGCTTATAGTTGCTGGTTGCCTCAGTCTTTGCTCTTCACAACCAAATAGGAATCCCAAGGGCTGGAATTGTATGCAGAAACCTTATATTTGGGTTGGAGAAGTGAAAGGTCCCAGTCATCTCTCAGAAATTGCTGTTTCATCTGCTACAATGGAAGGAAGTGCAGCTGGTGGTTCTTTTGGCAAAATGTTTCTTCCAGTAGGAGTTCGCCACAGTCTAGACACACTTGAGGCTAGAGTGGGGTAGAAACCTTTAATGCAATATGCTTTCCAATAGCAATGTGCGTCTGCTCATGTTTTCTGCTGAATCCCTCTGCATTTCCCTTCTCTTGTCAATAGTATTCTGGTTGCAGAAAACCCCTTCACTGGAAGCTGCCTGGGTACGGAAACACTGTCTTTATTGCTTCTCTGTCCTTTTCAGTTTCATCACTGAGAAACCCTCTTAATTTCTGAACCATCTTCCCTCATTACTCAGATGTTTTCACAAAGTCATGGAACTTCTCTTTGGTTCTGGTTTCCTTCAATGACAGTTTGTCTGATATTTGTCAGTTAATAAGAATCTGAACGCCTCAGTGGTGTTCTTGCTTACAAAGTAAGAAAAAAAGATACAAGCAGTATTGTTCATTGTGACACTGTCTCCCACCCCATTCTCATTAAAAAGCTAGGCAACTGTGGCATTGATGCCTACACCGTTAGATGGATAGCAAATTGGCTGAGGGGCCGCACTCAGAGAGTGGTGGTAGATGGGCCATATTCAACCTGGAGGGATGTGAGCAGTGGAGTCCCCCAGGGCTCAGTCATTGGGTCTGCACTGTTCAGTTTATTTATTAGTGACTTGGACGAGGGGGTGAAAAGCACCCTGTTTAAATTCATGGACAACACCTAGATTTGGGGTGAGGTGGGCATGCTAGAAGGGAGGGACAGGATACAGGTGGACCTGGACAAGTTACAGGGGTGGGCAAATGAGAATAGGATGGGATTCAATACTGACAAGTGCAGGTGCTGCACTTGGGCAGTAAGAACCAGCAGCATACCTATAGGCTGGGGAACTCTCTTCTTGAAACCACAGTGGCAGAAAGAGATCTTGGAGTCATTACTGATTCCAAGAAGAACATGGGCCGCCAATGTGAGGACACAGTCAGTAGGACTAACCGCACCTTGTCATGCATCCACAGATGCATCACAAGCAGGGCCAAGGAGGTGATTCTCCCCTTCTATGCAACACTGGACAGGCCACAGTTGGAGTCCTGCATCCAGTCCTGGGCGCTGCACTTCAGGAGGGATGTGGACAGCATTGAGAGGGTCCAGAGGAGGGCCACTTGCATGATCCAGGGACAGCAGGGCAGACCCCATGGGGAGAGGCTCCGGGACCTTAACCTGTTCAGCCTTCACAAGAGAAGGCTGAGAGGGGACCTGGTGGCCATCTATAAACTTACTAGGGTGACCAGGAGGGAATGGAAGAGACCTTGTTCCCCCGAGCGCCTCCCAGAGTAACAAGGAATAACAGCCATAAGTAGTTAGAGAGTAGGTTCAGACTAGACATTAGAAGGCACGACTTCACAGTTAGGGCGGCTAGGATCTGGAACCAACTTCCAAGGGAAGTAGTGCTGGCTTCTACCCTGGGGGGGCTTTAAAAGGAGGCTTTATGATTACCTAGCTGGGGTCATTTGAGCCCAGTTTTCTCTCCTGCCCAGGGCAGGGGGTCGGACTAGAAGATCTGCAAGGTCCCTTCCAACCCTACATCTATGAATCTATGAATTGTTCAGTTTCCATTGCAACAAAGATTTTTCAGTCAACAATTTTGAGATGTCATCTGAAGGGCGCTCTAGGGAGAGTTTGGAAATGGTAATCTTTTTCTACCTTTTCTCCCATGAGCTTTGGCATCATAATACAAGA